GCTCCTTTGACTACGATGACCTGGATGACTGAGAACCTTCACAGACAGCGTACACTATGTTACTCTGTGTCAGGGGACCCGATCCTTGGGGTGGACCAATTTTTGGTGCAGCGTGTTTTGGGGTTTAAAAGACACAGAGACCCGGTGTTTAGAAAAAATGCGTCTCAACTGTTCCGATACTCCTGACACGTACGGGATCACTACAGGTTTTCGCTTGGGCAGTGGTTGTCCTTCTTTCCTGGATTGGCTGGAGCTTTATTTAGGTGCTTTTCCAGCTTTGACAAAAGTCCAGCTGGGATAACTACATTTACTCAGGGCCTTCTTGATGTGCTGTTCTTCAGCTTTCCTGGCCACTGTGTCAGTGGGAATGGTGTTCGCTCTGAAGTGGAAGCAGAGCAACTATGGGCGAAAGTTTTGGCCTGTCTCAGCAATGCAAAGCCCCCAGCATCCAACATCATCATGGAGGATAGGAAGGCACTCACATCACTTAGTGATGACAACAACATTATCATCCTTCCGGCAGACAAGGGTAGGTGCACCGTATTGCTAAACCAGAAAGACTATCATGAGAAGATTTTGTCACGAAATTGATGAAATTTATTCAAGTGAAATACAAAAAAATATGGCTTTTTTACAACAAAGATACTATGAGGTAGGAGGCAAATCTGCAAAATTACTGGCTTATAAATTAAAAAAACAACAATCAGAAAATATAATACATAAAATAAAGGATCCTCAAACAAATAACGTTGTGTATAAATTGGAAGACATTCAGTTAGCTTTTTTAAAATTTTACAAAGAACTATACACACAACCTAGAGTGGATGTTAAAGGTATGATATCTTTCTTGGACTCACTTTGCTTACCAAAGCTGAATGAAAACCAGAATATAACCTTAATCAAGGACATATCTGAAATTGAAATTAAAAAAGCTATTTCAAAATTAAAACCTAATAAATTCCCAGGCCCGGATGGATTCCCATCAGATTGGTATAAGGAAATGAAAGAGTTATTGATTCCCTTGATGAGAACATCATTCAATTATATTTTAAAGATGGGAGTAAT